CTGTTTATGCCAAATGAAGCGTGAACTATCAAGCTAGGAAGCACCGGGCAGCTGTTTCGACCGGGCTGGATCTCCTCAGCAAATCCATCGACCCAGTGCTTCCTAGCTTTTCAGTTCACGCTTCATTTGACATAGACACTACGAATTTCCCCTTTGAAATTGAACCAAATCCTCCGTTACTCACATGACCCTGACGTTCATCACATTTGTTCCTCCGAACGCGTAGTGTTTCGAACATCATTCACGGGATTAAATGTAATATCGCCCCATATGAGACGCAACATATCTGTAGTAATATCCACTGATGTTTATATTTCTATCGGTCGAATGATATTAAAATGTATGATTTCTCAACTTCGACGGCGGTTTCTGGTGTATCAGTTATAATATAACAAAGTCTCAGTAAAAAAGATCATTGGAATTCATTTATAAAACCGGTCACAAACACAACACAGCTGTTGTAGTTCCGTTTTGTAACTGTTATATTTTTCCGTGTCTTATTTTTGAGCACCATAGGCAGTCGCTTTTGCATGGAATCCACCAAGTTGATTGCCCAAAAGCATCTGCCTTTTTTCTCTAATACATGCTGCAACCACTGACGACCACAGTCGACGCAGCTAACGTATCCCTGTTTCTAAAATTGGGAAATGTTTTTGTATAGTTTCAGATCGCAACTGATGGGCAGTCATTCAATGAATGCGACATTGAACTTGACCTCACCAGAAACTGCATAAATTTTGGAAAATAACATTGAATGTGGTCTAAACGTTTTCTACTGCCAACATCAAGCGAGAAGATATAATAATCTTCATCTGTGAAAAATATGACCTCTGCGAAACGATTCAAGGAGTGACGGTTATCAAAACCTACCTTAACAGTGCAACATATTTCGCACAATCCATATTATTATGTACATGAGACCAACAGCAAGGTGCTCGATACTTACTTCTCTTCCAACTTATTAGGCGAGATGGATATTTACTTCTTTTGACAGGTAAAATGAAATGCATTGAAAAACTAAGTTAGTAGATCATCTATCTGTGCCTGCTAAATTTGTCGTTGTCCGTCAGTGAGCTGAACCCAGTGCCAAATGGACGGGCGACGAGATTTGGGTTTGTCGGTAAAACCATTACTTGCTCTGTTTTGTTGGGCGTTCAATAACGGCTTTATATCAGGTCACCGCAGCGACGTATCAAATTGAGCCATCATCTACCCAACGGTGGCGTGAGGGAAAACGGTTAATCCACTCGCGCTTTACTCCATATCGATTATTTGCAACTCTTTTCAGTTGAGATCAAACTTAACCATTGTCTTGCTTCGATCTGATAGGTTTTCTCCCTCTTTATGAATAAAGTCCTTTGATTAGGCAATAAATCGGTCTTATGTTCACATCAAAGCACTTGCACAAGTCAGGATTTGAGTAATTAGATTTATGGGCCTCTCCAGTAAGTCGCATCTCGGCTTCAACTATATGCGGCAATCTTTTGAATGTTTCACCTCCTTTGGGCATGGTGACATCACAAGACGATTATCCAACGAGCGACCAACCATTGTTTTTAGTGCACATTAAGCCGGAAAAATATTCAATCAATTTCAATGAATTCTTTGGATAGACAACAAGGGGAAAATTTCAAGGGATACAGTTCGTCAAAATTACTGTTCGGTGATCAGAAAATATTCTAAACTCTATTATCCTAAGGGAACAAGAACACAGGAGCTTTCTTTGAGTTTTTGTGCTAGATTTAAACCACATAAATTCTGCATTCGAAGAATAGATAGTGCGTGTTACTTAATTGATCTTCAGGAACTATTTCAGGGTGGTGCGGTGCTTCTGTAGCTGCACCAAATGAAACGCTCCAGGAGCTGGAAAAGCAAGTGAATTTACTTCCGTAGGTATGTTGACTGTCGATGCGGTTTTCTCAAGAGAACAATGTCCGGCACTCATTTTTGGCTTTTCCTCGGCTGCCTCGTTGGACCTCTGGTTTACTTTGAACGCGTTTGAGTCTGTCACTTCATCATGTGATACGCGATTTAACACCCAATTCGGCTTGCTGAGTCTTCGTTCACTTAGAATCAGGTTCCTGTATTCTGGGACACCAGCTTCATAAAATTCTCCGTAGGCCGTAATAGTCATACCATTCTGCGTGAACAAGGAACAGTTGTGACCGTGAGATCCAAAGAAACGATTTAGCATCTTCTCGGTGGAATTAAACAACACACGAATACTTCGGTGCATTCGGAATGGGTCAAGTGTATTTCGGTCAGTAGTTATCTCTAGTGGTCCTCCCAGACACACAATCAGTCATTCAAATACATGTTAGAAACTAGAATCATCATCAAACAATTTGCCATAAGATGCTCGGATTTAAGTCATGACAACGACAGAGACGAACAGTTGTTCTATCAACAAATTTGAGTAGTTCAGCAATCAGCTATAAATGAAGGCTCCATAATTGATAAATGAGTAATCACAAACCTATTAACATGAGAAATTATTCTTTCAGTAATAATTCAATCGATAAGTATAGGGAACATAGATGAAGACGGTGCATCCGAAAATTAACAAATCTAATCTGAATTTAAGAAACCGATTTAGCTAAGCACAATGCAGAGACGGCATTCCATCGCGATGTTGTTCCGTGAGGGTCATCGTGACAATATTTGCCAAATATATAGATTTATATTTACATATATATATCTGAATATCTGTATATAAATATTAGTTAAGCCTACCAGAAGATTCTGTCCGTTTCTATTACAACAATTTTCGACATAAAAGAACATGTTTATTTGACGCATATGTGCCTCTATTTTTATCACTTAATGTATACATAATGACGTAGAAAATTAACTAAAACAAAGTTCATTCACCTTAGTCTTATGAGTGAAGCGATAAAGTACCTGTTGTATCCGAGATTCTCCTAATCCAGTGATATTTTTCTAACATCAGTCTCCTGACCGAGGTTAAACCATTAGTTTAATATTCCGCTCTCGAATCACCCATTCAACTTACAGAGTCACGTGGTATCCATCAGTTAGCATGTAAGCCGACTGCCACGACAGGTTTTCATGAGAATTCATCGGAGTCAACTGAATGAACTTCTAAGGCAAGGTTAATTGTTCCAACTGTTGTTTTTTACTTTGAAGATTTTTATGTCGAGATTGTGACAAGTTCAGTAACCTCGGTGGGATTTGAACCAATGCATTGACGCCGCCTATGCTTTTGTATAGCGCACGTTTTACCAGCTGAGCTAATTTAATTCAGGTCGGTTCAGTTCAGTATGTACGTGACAAAAGGTAACTTCAAGCCAGTCGAGCGTCTAGACTTTTGTGTTGCTGGCGGGTGTTTGTAGCTTCCAACACTCGGTATAGTCGGTATAGTCCATTCCATAGTCGATTC